TTTCTTTATGATAACTATTTTGAATTCTCTGTTATTTAGATTGTAAATTTCTGTGATTTCAAGATTGATTTCTGGGTACTTCTCATTTCCCTTCTAGTCTGGAGTGTTAAGATATTTCTTCATGCTGTTTGATGGGCCGGACTTCTGCCATCACATAATGGTAGTATCTGGTCTCACATTCCATCTGCCACCACTGGGGCGGTGGTTGGGAGCTGTGTTTTCTGAGCCTGCTGCAACCCCTGGCACTTGTGCCTGTCCATTGGAAGCTGTGCTGACAGAGCCTGTCTGCATTTTCCCGCTGGCTGCTGCTGCTTTACACATGTAGGTGCCAGCGCTCAGGTAGGGCTCCCCTGTTCTGGTGGACCGGCCAAGCTGGTGTGCCAGGCGGGAGCGGGGTAGGGGGCTTTCTTTCACATGTGCAATTCTGTGTGCTTCTGCTGTATATTCACTGCCTGCCTCAGCTGCTTGGCTTTTTGGGGACACCCCTGCAATTGCTTAGATGCCTCGCTATGGAGCATTCCCACAGGTTGGGAGGCAGCTCTGAGAGTGAAAGCATTCTGGCAGAGGGCTGCGTTTTCCCCCATCTCCTCTCAGAGTCTCACGGCAGTTGCTCTGTGAGGTCCCCCACCCCAGATCTCTGCCTCAGAGGCAGGGGAGGAGATCTGCTTGCCTCCTTCCACTACCTCCCCAGGGGGTTCAGCTCCTGCACCTTCAGATGTATGGCTGCTTGGATCTCTCGCATGTCTGTTGTGTTGTGTGAATGTTTTCTCTTTGTTTATGGAAGTTCTTTTCCTTGTATCTTGTGGGTAGGGACTAAGGGAAGAGCTCCTTCTGCCGTGATGCTGACGTCACTCCTCACCTCACCCCTTTTTAAAAAATTTTAGGGTTAAGTCTTTATTAGGAACTTACGTATCTTTTTAAATGTTAGTATTTTTATTAGGATTGTTTGAATTTTTGTTAGTGCTCTGCTGACAGGGTTGTACAGGTAGTCTACCCAAGTTTTTCCCCCACAAGCTCTGTGAGTTTTAGTGTGTAGTTTTGCAGAATGCAAAGTGTTTCAGTATTGCATATCTTGCATTTTATCAGAAGGGTAAATTACATAAAGCAAATGACTTGATGATGATATATCAAGAAGATGAAATTCTAGGTTGTAAATTATTTTCCTTCAGAACTTTGAACACATCATTCTATTGTTTTTTCATCTGTTTGTTTATTGCTGATAAGTTTGATGGTAGTCTGATCCTTTTTCGTTGGTAAGTGATCTCTTTTTCTACTCCCTCTCTGGAAGCTATTAGAAGTTGGGAAAAAACATTATTTAAAATTTTTCAGTGATCTCTCTTTGTGTGGATGTTTTTAAAATTCATTGCACTTGTCATTCAGTTGTCTCTCATTCTGCAGAGATATTTTTTAGCTCTGGAAATTTTCTAGCGATTCCTTTTTGTTTTTATTTTAAGCCTGGCTAGAAGAAAATTTTAACTTAGCTATTTTTATAACAGTTTTAACATAGTTACCCTTGTTTTTACTCCTAACTTAAAAAAATTTTACATTTAAGTATAATATGCATAACAGAAAAGTGCCCCATGGCAACAGAATATTACCAGCACTTCAAAAGCTCCTCTAATTTTCCTTTCTCCAAGGAGTGTATCCCACTTCTTCTAGGATACCACTATTAGGACTTTCAACAATATAGTTTTACCTGCTCTTTGTACTTTATAAAATAGAATCATGCAGTTTGTACTCTTGCATCTAGCTTCTTTAGCTCGATGTTATGTTCCTTCATATTCATCTCATTACAGCATGTTAGTTTTCGTTTTGTGAATATGCCACTATTTGTTTATTCATTCTTGTATTGGTGGACATTTGTATAGTTTTTAGCTTTGGGCTGTTGCAAATAGTGTGGCTATAAACTTTCTAGGAAATTTCTTCAATCATATCTGTAATTCTATTGGGTATATACTTTTGAGTGGAATTACTGGACTGTGGTAGATACTGTCAGGCAGTTTTCCAAATGGTTGCATTAATTTACACTCCCATAGCATCGACTGTGAGTTTAGCTTGGTTCACATCCTCCCCAACAGTTAGTATTTTCCACCTTTTTCACTTTAGTCATTCTGATGGGTATGTAGCATTACCACATTTTTACTATTTTAGTTTTTGAATAAGTGAGCTTTGAAATTTTGCTTTGTTTTGTACCATCCCTCTAAATACAGCTTTTGTTTGTGCATCTTGGTTGTTTAAAGTCTTTTAATATTCTGTGTTTATATTTTATTTATAATTAATTGTTAAATTAGCCAGCAAATTGACTCATTTACCTGCTAATAGTTACTATTCTACCTCATTTCTTTCACTCATGCTTCATCATTTTTATGCATAATTATCTCTGTAATGAAATCTGCTGGTGTGAACTTTATTGACAGTTTCAATTCATTATTTAAAGAGGAAAGTTTAGCTTAATAGTTTGGTGATAGTTTTTTCTTCATATCTTCAATTATTATTTCTCTTTGGTAGCTCATTAGACTTGATTTCTATAACATTGCTTAGTCTTGGTTCTTCTGTTTCTCTGCCTCTTCCTTCTCTGAACACTATTTCTCTGGATTGTTTCTCTAGTGCTCGTCTCACCTTATCTGCTCTCCATATTTTCCCCCTAATTTCCATATGCACATTTCCAATTGTTGCCTGGATATCATGCTTTGAGATTTTAGGTACTTTGATCTTGCGCTTACCTCTCCTCTGTCAAACCAACTCTTCCAGTCTTTCTTAACTTGGTTAATACAGTCTGCCTTTTAGTCTTCTAAGTTAGAAATGTCTATCTTTCTCGTTCTCCCACAAGTAATTGTCAGAAAATTCTGTCGATTTTATTTTTTAGCATAGGAAGCTCCCTTCATACACAGTCACAAACATTGAGAACTGTCTCTCTAAAAGAGCGATCCTGTCTCTCCCGCCTACCCCTGTCTTAGAGCAGACCTTATCATGGTCTAGGCTGTTGTTCCATTTAGTGTTGGCTTTTTCTTTTGTCCGACTCTTGCTTCCTTTATTCTCTTTTTTACAGTCCCTCTGAATAAAGAATGCAAACAAAGAATTTAAATTAAAAATTTATTGTTCAAAATTTACAAAACATAGACAATTAAATTTTCAGTTTTTGATTTAAACAATTAAGCCTACTAGTGATGGTTTTGTAACTTTGTAGTGTTTTTACTACCGAAGTTAAGAGAGCTCAAAATGGCACTCAGACTTTTGGGACCCCCTCTGTTTAGGGATTTTGATGAATATTGACAAATTGCTATGCAGAAACGTAGAGCACACATTTCCTTATGTCTCCTCTAACACTGGTTGTTGTTGTTATTTTTAAAACTAGGTTTTAGTTTGACAACTGAAAAATGGTATCTTGGTCTTATTTGTGTTTTTTTGACTTCCAGTTATGGTGAATACTTTTAATGTTTTAATTTATCATCTTTATTGGTAATCACTTTTAATGCTACTTTAGTGATGTTTTCTCTACTATTTATCCAGCACTTTACTGACTGTCAAAAGTACTATGACAGGCATTTTACTGCATTGCCTATTTTAATTCTATGAACAACCCTATCAAGTGTAGATACATTTATTATTTTATGGGTGAGAAAGCTGATCATAGGGAGAAAAAGTGACTTGTTTGATGCTACACAGTTAGGAAACAGATTCTATCATCTGTTATTACACTGTTACCTCTCAACTTTTGTTAATATAGATGAGGAAGATTGGTATATCTGTATTTCTAAGGGATTGGGTTAAATCTATACTTACTTAGCATCCCAGATAGAGATGGCTGTGATTTTTCTAGTTTTTCTAAAAGCAAAATGATCAAGTTTGGTATCTGGTTGGATTAGGGGAGAAAAAAATAATGATTTTAGTGAGTTTGATTCCAGTTAGAATGTTGGTTATGGATGTTGAGAGCTGGAAGCGTTCTTAAATATTTCTCAAACTATCTTCCGTTGCACACTGGTGGGAAATATTTCCTGATCATATAAGTTTGGGCAACTTTTCCTCAGCAGAGAAATTTTATTAACTTTATTTATTCTAGAATTTCCCGAATCAGTTTGTGCACTGTCCTGTAGTAGACCTATTTACATCTTTTGGAACAATATCTTGAGGTACATTGGTTTGAGACAAAAAGCTAAGGTGGTGCATTATCTCATTTTATAAGGGGAGGAAATGGAGATCCAGTATGGTTAAGTGTGTTGCCTAAGATCACATAGCTTCTCAATGACACAGGATAAGATCCAGTCTTTCCTTTGTACCATACTTTCTCTAATAATGTTATATAATGTTAATATTTATTTTTCATATATTGAAAAGTTGTAAAGTATACTTGAGTGTAGTTTCTTTTATATTCTCATCTAGTCCAGTTATTAGTCTTTTTTTGGTGGGGGGGGGAAGATTAGCCCTGAGCTAACATCCATGCCCATCTTCCTCTACTTTATATGTGGGACACCTACCACAGCATGGCTTGCCATGCGGTGCCATGTCCGCACCTGGGATCTGAACTGGCGAACCCCGGGCCGCCGAGAAGTGGAACATGTGAACTTAACCACTGTACCACCCGGCCGGCCCCCAGTTATTAGTCTTTTTTTTTTTTCCTTTTTTTTCTGCTTTATTTCCCAAACTCCCCCCGGTACATGGTTGTATATCCTAGTTGCAGGTCCTTCTAGTTGTGGGATGTGGGACGCCGCCTCAATGTGGCCTGACGAACGGTGCCATGTCTGCGCCCAGGATCCGAACCCTGGGCTGCCACAGCAGAGCGCACGAACTTAACCACTTGGCCACGAAGCCGGCCCCCCAGTTATTAGTCTTATGCTCTGAAAAATACATATGCAGTTTTCAAAATTCTGAGGTTTATATACGTATGAATAGCCTAACTCATTTAGCATGAATACATATCAATAACTGCTTGTTTGTGTTAATGATAGAAATGAAAAGAGTACTTTTTTCTCTAGTTAACATGTCACAAATGTTTGGTTTAGTTTCTGTAGAAAATGTTTCCTGACTGCAATGAGAGAAAGCGGAATACATTGTCCCCTCTGTCGTGGAAATGTGACTAGAAGAGAAAGAGCATGTCCTGAACGGGCCTTAGACCTTGAAAATATCATGAGGAAGTTTTCTGGTAGCTGCAGATGCTGTGCAAAACAGGTAGAGTAAATGTGACATAGCTCTTCTTTGAAAGTTCTTTCTACTCTGAAATTCCTGTTTGACTTTTCTTGATGGGTGTTGTTTTGAAGAGAAGGAAGTTACTTAGGTTGGGAATTGGGCAGAAAAGGCCAAAAAAACTGTGGCTATAGATCTTACTGTATTATAAATTTATTGAGAACAAAGACTGAAAGATACAATCTCTGAATTTTCCGTAATTTTTACATGGTATTTTTCTCAAAGTAATTGCTCATTGATTGCCTACTTAATGAACTGAATGAGCATACTGGCATTTAACTCATTTAAAGTCCATTCTTGTACAAATTCAGTTCTTAAATAGGTTTTCTGATGGTAACATCATTATTGCAGTTTTGCACGTAGAAATGGGCCAAATGGATTTATGTAGTCAGGGAACTCTCTAGCTGTCCACTTTGTGTTTTTGTGTGTTTATCTAAGAAATCACAAAGTATTTGGCAGAAGACTGCTTAATTTTTAAGGAACAGTTGGGAAAATCAGGTATTGGCAAATAACTGGCATTAATTCTCCAGTATGGATTTTATTCTGTCATTTGGAGTGGTAAAATGGTGAGAGGTGGTTAGACTTTGAGTATATCTCTGTGTTCATGGATTTATTGCAGCCACTTTTTTTCAAACAGCTAATAAAGTTAGTGATCAAAACCAGTTATTTTATGCATTGACACAAGTCGGATCTGCTTTTCCATCTCTTTGAGGGAGGTGTTAACTGACAGGGCAATGAAGTGAAGCTGGAAAATATACCTGAGAGATTCTGGCTCTACTCCTCAGTGAGAAACTGAAAAACATTGCCAGTGTTAACCTAGATCTTAATTTTTTTAAGTGCTTTCTAACTCTGCCAGGGTTGCAGTAGTTAAAGAATAAAGAAATGTCCAATACCATGAGGCAACCTCTTAGTACTTTTAATTTTATTTTTTGTTGATTAGTAGTAGTATCGTTTCAAGTGTAAAATTATTTTTTTCTACAGTGAGTTTATATTTGCATCTAGTGGATAGAAACTTTTTATTTTCAGCTCCTACTTAAGAATTAAATCATTTACTTAAGAACCTCTTGTTTAAATGGAATATTTAGTTATCTATTTTATTGTTTTTCCCTCTTGTTGACCATATCTCAATCTTAAAGAGTTCTGTTTTATATTGAGTCACGTTACATTTTAATCAATAATTTACAGATTAAATTCTATCGCATGAGACATCATTACAAATCCTGTAAGAAGTATCAAGATGAATATGGTGTTTCCTCTATCATTCCAAACTTTCAGATCTCTCAAGATTCAGTAGGGAACAGGTAAGCAATATTTATTCCTAAAAAGAGAATTTTTGTGGTTGAATTGGAAATTGTTTTGCAAACTATATAAGGTGTTTTTTGTTTTGTGTGTGTGTGTGTGTGTGTGTTTTACAGTAAATCGCTAAGTATCAAAACTAGATCGTTTGTCTTCAAAAGTTAGTTTGACTCATGTAAGATTGTGTCTGGGAGATTAACTTCATGATATACTTAAGCTCATGTTATTTAAAAATCATTCTAAGATAATCTACATTTCTTTGAATAAAAAATAGACGAGAGTTGAAGACTTTTCTTTTGCAATTGAAATTATTTAAAAACTAAAGAAAATCCCTTTCAGTATTGTATTCACAAACTGAAATTGCTTTTATTTTTAAGAAATAGAGCCGTTTGAAATTTTTATTCTGATAATGTCACATAAAAGTGAGGCTTGTTATTATTATATTCTTGGTTCTACTTTAGTCTCAGTTTTTTTTAAAACTAGATTTTGGCTTGATTTGTATTTTGTTGTCACAGATTACGTATGTTAAACATTTTTATGAATTGTTTTTTATGCAGAAGAATGGCCAACATGCACATGTGTGATTTAAAAAGTAGTGATAAAGCAAATACCCAGTTACCCACTAACCAGGTCAAAAAATGGGACATTTTTCAGGACCTCAGAATCTCCTTGTCAGCCCACGCCCATTTGAACCCCATACTCCCAGAGGTAACCAGTATCCTCTTTTTTGGGTTGTTCATTCTCTTACTTTTCTTTATAATATAACCACCCATGCGTGTATCCCTAAACAATGAAGTGTTTAATTTTTTAAAACTCTATAGCAAGCACACACATAGTTGTGTAAGGAAAGGCAATACTGGCAGTATATAAAAAGGTTCCCATGAGACAATACATTAAGCAGCATCTCTAAGATTTTATTTTAGTAGCATTTCATTTCACATGTTGCTAGTTTTCATTGATTTAACTCATCTTAAGTACTCATACTACAGTCAGGCTTCTCTACTCCTAAGTTGAAACTGTTCTAGTAAGGTCTTTAGTAATTCTCTGTCTAGTCTGCCAAATTCTTTTAGGTTCTCATTTTACTTGACTTAATGTCATTGGATGAAATAAGTCACTCCTATTTTGTGATTTTAAAAATCCTCTTAAGTTTCTTCATCTCTTATGCTTTATTGTTGTACTTCTGCTTTATTGAAAGTACTCAAGTTGTTATAAACCGAATAGATTATTCTTAAGTGCGGGGATGGTGTTTGTCTTGTTTGACATTGTCTCTCCAGCTCTTAGCAAAATGCCTGGTATAGGTGATTTGTGCAATCATTGCTTGTTAAGTGAGGGAATTTTCTTCGCAAGAGACATGCCTTCTTCCCTCTTACTCCTCAAATCCAGTTGGTCATAGTTATCATTGATTCCTTTTTTGTTTGTTTTTGAGGAAGATTAGCCCTGAGCTAACATCTGCCACCAGTCTTCCTCTTTTTGCTGAGGAAGACTGGCCCTGAACTAGCATCCGTGCCCATCTTCGTCTACTTTATACGTGGAACGCCTCCACAGCATGGTTTGACAAATGCTGCCTAAGTCCACACCTGGGATCCCAACTGGCAAACCGCGGGCCACCGACATGGAACATGCAAAGTTAACCACTGTGCCACTGGGCTGACCCCCCATTGATTCCTAATAGCAGTATTCCTCATCTGTGCTTTTGTTCATCCCTGTTGTCGCTTCCCTATCTGAAGCCCTTGTCATCTCTCACTTGAACTATTGCAGTAGTCTTTTAGTTGGTGGTCCTCCTCTAATCTGTCCTATATACTCTTGCCAAAGTGATATTTTAGAAGTGCAGTTCTGATCTCCTTCTTCCTGTCCTTGTACCTTCCTCCCTATACCTTTTCAGTGACTGAGCATGGCCCCATAGTAGTGTTTCTCATCCTGGGTTCCATGAGTCTGTAAGGGTTCTGTGAACTACCTAAACTGCCAAATTTTTTGTGTATGTGCATTCTTCTGGAGGGAGAAGGTCAAAGATTCTCAAGGGGTTCCATGATCTAAAATCCAACAATTAGCTTATAAGACAAAGTATTTTATTCTAAAGTCCTTTCTGAACTGGCACTTGCCTTTCCTTTTAGCTTTTCTCTTTCTTTGCTACTCATTGTTGCATCATATGCCTTTGCCTAGTTGAACTATTTATACCATATACTTGCCATCCTCGAGAAGCAATAAAATTCAGTCGTTAAAAACGAAGGCTAGGAGCCAAACTGCCCGGGTCCCAGGCTCTGTCACATACTAACTGTATGACTTTGGCAAGAAGCTATATCTCAGTTTTCTTATCTGTTTAAAGTAAAGGGATGGTGGTGATACTATTAATATCTCATTGGGTTGGGAGTCAATAAATAGCTCAATACAGGTGAAGCACATTGAATAGTACCTTGCTTAGTAAATGTTAGTTTTTAATTATCATCATCATGGTCATCAATCACCCCCTCACCTCCAAGCTTTGACCAGTAGTACTCCCTTCCCCCACAACCCCAACCCACACTTTACCCTCTAGTGGGCTTTTTCTTCTCTTTGAAGATTTAGACCAAGTCTTATCTACTCTATGAAATCTTTCCTAACCTCTAGAATTTCTTCCTCTGGTAGAACTGTTTCTTTGTGTTCTGGCTAGACCCTGTAACACTTTATAATATTTATTTGTTTACTTATCTTTCTTTATCTAGAATGGGCTACTTAGTCTTACTCATTTTTATATCCTAAGCAAAATTCTAATTACAACATAAAAATTGAGTTTGTATATGAATTTTAATAAGAAAATTGGTGAAAGAAGGGTTTTTTGTTTTTTTAATTAAAAAATGGTACAAAAGGGCCAGCCAGCCCTGGTGGTCTGGTGGTTAAGTTGGGTTGCACCCTGCTTTGGTGGCCTGGATTTTGTTCCCAGGTGTGAACCTACACCACTCGTCAGTGGCCGTGCTGTGGTGCATCTCACATACAAAAAAAGAGGAAGATTGGCAACAGCTGTTAGCTTAGGGCGAATCTTCTTCAGCAAAAAAAGTAAAAATAAAAAAATGGTAGGAAACACAGGTATGAAGCTAGAGTATAGTCAGGGTCTTGGGAGGAAACAGATAGTTATGCTCAAATTAGGTAGTCTGAGGAGAATTTAGTAAAGGGAATATTTTCAAAGAATAGGGTATTGGGTACACTATGTGAGCAGGGTATAGGAAATCACAAGGGATAGATAGGTACTCTGGGTCTGCTGAGAGCAGGGGAGGGGAGGAAATACATACCAGAACTTGGAGAAAGAAAGTTCTTTCTTGCAAGTTCTCCTTTCCAGTGGAGGGGCAATTGGAGAGGGATGCAGCCAGTCTAGGCGGTTTTGCTGGGAAGGAGTCTGGGAAATAAGTATGCTAACTTTCCTCTTATTTCTCCCTCCAAATCTCCTGCTGGGCTGAACCCAACTGGGAAGCAGAGAAGGGAATCTTTTGATGCAGGTTAGTCTCTCAGTACACAGAGTATGGTGAAAAATGGAGGACAGATCTGGAGGGGCAAAAGAAACTCAGCACATAAGTATTTCAGTTAGTAGCCAAATATATTGTAATATTCTATACACTGTTTCACAGCTTCCAACTAGTGAGTGCGAAGAAGAAAACATCGTTATGTTATTAATAGTGTCTATGATATTATACACAAAATAGTTCTTAATGAGAAACACAGCTGTTCCTGATACTAAAAGAAATGATACTGAAGTGATTTTGCCTATTGGTCCTCAGAAGAAGAAACCATGCAGTAAACATCCTCTTTCCTGTGGTAAATACAGAACAAGTTACATAGGGCTGTACTTTAAAGACCTTCAGTGTAGGCTATCATCATGCCTTATTGCCGTTTATGAAAGCTTGTCTTCCAGGGGCTTTTCTCTGACATTCTAGCTTAGTCTAGTGCATGGTAGAATAGACAGGATCTGCACATTCAGACAGTTCTCCATGAAGGTTATTTCTAGCAGCTAAGCTTTTAATAGACATTTCAGTTTGGAGAATTTAAGGTTCTACCCTATGTCTAGTAACTGGAAAACAGATATATTTAATATTGCTGATTAAGAGCAGGTCCATATAGTTAATAGTTAGCTGAGCAGGGTTTGGTGGCATCTTATGAAAATTCATTACTTTAATAAAGACGTGTCTGTAGCAAAGTCAAGGGACTACCTAAGAGTAGAGCCTGTGTTTTCTGAGAAGACAATTCAAGTATTCCCTCATAAGTATAAATGGGTGATTTAAACTCTGAACTCTGTGGCTGTGGAAATTCTTAAAGTGGTATTTGCATGTACCTATCTCACTAGTAAAAAAAATTTCAAAATAAACCCATAAATTATTTTATTAATTCAGCATACCTTTATTGTACCTTCTGAACTGCTGGACTCACACTCTAATGTTGAATATAGAGGGAATTGAATATAGAGGGATGGGTAAAACAGATAAAATCTCTTTTTCCCATATATGTAAGTGGTATAACTTCCCGTTGAGTCATCCATAATAAACTAGCACTAGTTTCAGTCAGATCTTTCAGGGTAGAACTATTTACCATAAACTAATACGTGTTGGAGGGTGTTTAACAAAATGATTGCATTAGACTACTGTGGGTAGTTTCTCAATAATTATATAGCAGTGCTAGTTGTTTTACTAAGGCCATTTCTAGTTTATAACAATAAAATTCTACTTTTAACATATTAGACTATATCTTTGTTTTCTTTAGCCAGTAGAGGTGAGGAGGAGAGAGGGGAGGATGCTTGTAATCATTAAGATGCCAGAACACATTTCATGGAGATTCCTCAAAAAATTTAAAATAGAACTACCATACGATCCAGCCATTCCACTGCTGGGTGTCTATCCAAAGAGCTTGAAGTCAGCAATTCCAAAAGTCCTATGCACCTCAGTGTTCATTGCAGCATGATTTACAATAGCCAAGACATGGAAGCAACCTAAGTGCCCAGCAACAGACGAATGGATAAAGAAGATGTGGTACATATATACAATGGAATACTACTCAGCTGCAAAACAGAAGAAAATCATTCCATTTGCAATAACATGGATGGACCTTGAGGGAATTACATTAAGTGAAATAAGCCAGCTAGAGAAGGATAATCTGTATATGACTCCACTCATATGAGGAATTTAAAAATGTGGACTAAGAGAACAGATTGGTGGCTACCAGGGGAGAGGTGGGGTGGGGTGTGGGCAAAAAGGGTGAAGTGGTGCACCTACAACACGAATGACAAACATTAATGTACAACTGAAATTTCACAAGATTGTAACCTATCATTAACTCAAAAAAAAATGTGGAAGAAAAAAAAGAAGATGCCAGAACACATTTCTATTTTATCTTCCTTGGGAATTATTTGGTCTATTTGCAGGCTTTTCCTACTAATCTTGACATTTAGTAAATGTTAAGAACTGGATATCAGCAGACTCAGGCAGTTTAGTCCAGATACAGCTCTTCACAAAGACTGATGGGATGAAAGTTGCAGGCAGTCCTATATTGTTCCTACCACATTTCTCTCCAAGGTCTTGGACGCTTTAAGTGGCTAAATAACTATTTATTAAAGAGTCTGGTACAAATATTAGATAAAATGTCCTTTTCCTTATTTATAGATATTCTGTATATTCTGGATAATGTTCCTTTATTACATGCATTCCAAATATATATGTATCTTTTACTCAAAATTAAACAAATTTTTGTTGCTGTTTTGTAAAAAACGTAAACATAGAACTTGAGAATTTTCTTCATATTTTAAAAAGACTGAAAATGAGAGCCAGCCCTGATGGCCTAGAACTTAAAAGTTTGGCACGCTTTGCTTTGGCGGCCTGGGTTCAGTTCCCAGGCACAGAACCACACTACTCATCTCTCAGTAGCCATCTGTGGCAGCGACTCACATAGAAGAACCAGAAGAACTTAAAACTATACACAACTATGTACTGCACCTTTGGGTGGGAGGGGAGGGAAGAAAAAAGGAGGAAGATTGGCAACAGATGTTAACTTAGGGCAAATCTTCCCCTGCAATAAAAAGAAAGGAAAAAGGGAAGGAAAAAGAAGGCTGAAAGTAAGATACTCTAGTATTTTGAAAACTTTGCTTTAGGGACCATCACAATTTAATTTAGCATAAAATGGCATAGTCATACATAGTTCCCCCCCTCCTTTTTTTTTATTGTGGTAGGGATACTGAACATGAGATATCTATTCTCTTAACAGATTTTTAAGTGTACAATGTAGTATTGTTATCTATAGGTACAATGTTGTACAGCACCTGTCTAGAACTTGCGTAACTGAAATTTTATACATGTTGATTAGCAACTCCACATTTTCCCCTCCCCCGGCCCCTGGCGACCATCATTCTCTTCTTTACTTCTGTGACTTTGGCTATTTTTAGATACCTCATGTAAGTGGAGTCGTGCAGTATTAGTCTTGTGACTGGCTTATTTAACTTAGCATAATGTCCTCAAAGTTCATTCATGTTGTCACATGTGCAGGATTTCCTTTTCTTTCCTTTTTTTTCCTTTTAAAGATTTTATTTTTCCTTTTTCTCCCCAAAGCCCCCCGGTACATAGTTGTGTATTTTTAGTTGTGGGTCCTTCCAGTTGTGGCATGTGGGATGCCACCTCAGCATGGCTTGATGAGTGGTGCCATGTCCTTGCCCAGGATTCGAACCAGCGAAACCCTCAGCTGCTGAAGTGGAGTGCGAAAACCATTTGGCCACCGGGCTGGCCCCTCCTTTTCTTTTCTTTTTTTCTTTTTCTTTTTTTTTTTTTTTTGAGGAAGATTAACCCTGAGCTAACTGTTGCCAATCCTCCTCTTTTTGCTGAGGAAGGCTGGCCCTGAGCTAACATCTGTGCCCATCTTCCTCTACTCTGTATATGGGATGCCTACCACAGCATGGCTTGACAAGCAGTGCCATGTCCGCACCCAGGATCTGAACTGGCGAACTCCAGGCCCCTGATGTGGAATGTGCGCACTTAACCGCTGCGCCACCGGGCCGGCCCCCCTCCTTCTCTTTAAAGGCTGAATAATATTCTGTTGTATGTATATACCAAATTTTCTTTATCCTTTTATATCTTTGTTTCTTTTTCCGTTCACAAGATTGTCTCCATATCTTGGCTATTTTGAATAGCACTGCAGTGAACATGGGAGTGCTAATATTTCGTCAAGATCCTGATTTCAGTTGTTTTGGATAAATACCCAGAAGTGGGATTGCTGGATCATATGGTAGTTCTATTTTTAATTTCTCAAGAAACCTCCCTGCTGTTTTCTATACTGGCTACACCATTGTGCATCCTCACCAACAGTGTACAAGGGTTCCAATTTCTCCACATCCTCACCAACCTTGTCTTTTGTTCTTTTGATAATAGCTATCATAACAGGTGTGAGGTGATTCTCATTGTGATTTTGATTTGCATTTTCCTGATGATTAATGATGTTGAGCATCTTTTCATATACCTGTTGACCATTTGTATGTTGTTTCTGGAGAAATGTCTATTCAGGTTTTTAGCCCATTTTTTAATTGGGTTATTTTTATTTCTTTGCTATTGAGTTGAAGGCGTCCATTATATATTCTTTTGGAATTCTTAACCCTTTTATCAGATACATGGTTTGCAAATATTTTCTCCCATTCCATATGTTGCCTTTTCACTCTTTGATTGTTTCCTTTGTTGTGAAGAAGTTTTTAGTTTAATATAGTCCCACTTGTCTGTGTTTGCCTTCATTACCTGATCTGCAGATATTGTGAATGATCAGAGGTTTTTTGTTTTTGTTTTCATTATGGAGGTTGAATTTTATTGAATGGTTTTCTGCATCAGATGAAATGATCAGATATTTCTTTTCTTTTAATTGGTAATATAGTATCAGTAATGGATTTTCTATTGTTGAACACATTCATGCATTTCTTGAGTAAATGAGTAGGCTACTGGTAGCCCAGGCACAATAGAGGATGATTAGGAAGAACAAACATGATAATAATACTAATAATGGAAAACAGAGAATTGTAATGGGAGATGGAAGGGAGAAAGCATTTTAAAAGGGCATTAACTTTGATATTAAAATATTTTAAATCAGAAGTTTTGGAATTGCATACCCTGTCAGTGAAAAACATTGTGCACTCCCAGTATGTGTATGTTTATTTAAAAACTACTCATGTATTTTACAGTACTGATACTTTATGTACCTTATAAAATCTGCAAAGTTTAAGGGAAATAAAGATGAAATAGTTACTTTAAAATAAGTTTTGCTTTATTTAATGGTATAAAATATTTTTATTCTTAAATTTTTATTAATATTTTTGCTGAAAATAATATTGTTGAATATGCTTTGCAAAATTCTTTAAAATCTTAGTTTAACACTATGATACAGTAATTCAAATATTTGGATCTAAGTTCACTTTACTTTGATACTTGATTTTGGTGACTGTCATGGCTGAAAAAGATACCTAGTACACAAAAATGTAGATTTAAGTGAAGGAAGTATGTCATAGGTTGAAATTACTAAGCTTTTCAGTGCCATTCACTAAATATTGAAAGGGCTTTTGTTGAAATTTTTGTCTTCCCTAATGATGTTATAGTTGTTCTTAACAAACCATTCAGAAGTTGTTATAATATTTTTAAAGAGCATGTTCAAAACCCAATTATTATTTTTATTTGCAAGATTTTAAAACTTATTAGAAAAATCTGTTACAAGTATAAGTGTATAGGTATGGGAGTTTTGGTAGCAAAATCCTAACATCCCTTTAATAATTGCCCTCTCCATAGTTTCAGTTTATTTTAAAAAGCAGTTTTTAGTCTCCACTTTGTTAAAATGCTACCTTTATCTGAAGAGATAAATTAATATCTGCTAGAAAGGTGAAAAATAATGGCTTAATAGTCTCCTATCTGGCTGTGGAAACCGGAAAGCTTGATTGCTTGCTGAGTGTAGAATATGTTTGGAGAGATGACACTGTTATCTTCACAGAAGGGAACTGTCCTTGGAAGGATGTCTTTACACCAAATACACCTTGTTGTATATAATTTTATTGTGAAGAACAAACAGAAGAAAGAAAATTCAAAAAGAAAAGAACATCTGTTTAGTAGATGATATAGTAGACTGCTTGTCTTTTTGTGAAAAAAATGAATAACCAGATTTCTAAGTTTAACAACTCTTTTAGCTCGGGTATTGAGATATAAGAGCAAACCACTGTGTGGTACAATTTTTTTGTCCACTACCTGTTGCATTTCTATTTTAATCTTTTTTGCTATTTAAAGGCCTTGTTTTTATAAAATTGACCACAGCTGATGAAACTTTGTAATGCATAAGTGACAGTCCCCATACGGAATGCCCACTCTTCCCTCAGGATTCTTCTGATACCACGTATGACATATGACTCTGGCATGGGGTCTGAGTGAGGATGTCACATTGTCCTATATATTAAATGTTGGAAACCCTAGTTCCTTTTTGGAAATTGTGAACATAATAAACATCCAAATATTTTTGTAAACCTGCTCCACTTTGGAGGCCACAACCTTAAACCATATCCTAGTTACAAGTCAAAAAGTTGACTCATTCTTGATTCTAGCCCGGCATTCAAAAACTTAGCAGTCTCGGTAGAGGAGTCTCTTAATTTGAAAGTTGAAAGGACCTGGGGAAATATTATCATGCTATGGATTTAAGATAATTCTGAAAAATTCTGTATTCTCTATACTTTTGTAAGTGTGCATAAATTAATTTTAAAGGATGTGAATAAGGACCTAATAAGCAGTCTTCTTATCAGAATTTATTTGAAAAGTAATTAATCCCATAGTTATTTCATAGTTCAGAACTATTTGAAATTGAAACTTTTAAAATAAGTTCAGATTAGTTTTCTTCATTACCACTTCAAGTTAATGAATCTGTAATGTGCTTTATTACTTGAGATACTAACTTCCCACCATCCTTCTTAAGTAATAGGAGTGAAACATCCACATCTGATAACACAGAAACTTATCAAGAGAGTGCAAGGTAAGCTTTTGAAAATTCTGCTACCTTAGTAGATAATGTCTATCACTTTATAATAACAGATTTTTTAATTAAATTTTTTATTCAGTCAATCATCAGATATAACGCTAGAAAAATGATGCAGTTGCTGCCTTTTACAGATCACATTAAATTAGAAGAGTTTAGCTCTCCTCTTTCACTGTGGTCAGGATAGAGTTGTCAATATTGAACTCTCCCTTGCTGAAATTCGGAGGTATTGAATATCCAGTGATGTGTGAGCCTCACAATGTTTTGAAATGTTGATCATTCTGATGATCAGTGCTTTTGTTTTTTACTTTTCCTGTGAATTTTGTATGTTAGAGTCTTAGGGACTGGGTTAGATTAAAGATATGAAGATATGGGGCCAGCCCTGTGACCAAGTGGTTAAGTTCGCGTGCTCTGCTTTGGCGGCACAGGGTTTCACCAGTTCGAATCCTGAGCACGGAGGTGGCACCGCTCATCAAGCCATGCTGAGGTGGCGTCCCACATGCCACAACTAGAAGGACCCACGGCTAAAAATACACAACTATTGTATGGGGGCTTTGGGAAGAAAGAGGAAAAAAATAAAATCTTTAAAAAAAAGAAAGATACAAAGATATGATATTGATGGAAGTCTTTTTAAAGTTTTAAGTTCCTAGGGATAGGGTGTCCAAACTGGGACATCTTGGGATATTTAAAATTTTCAAGGGACATACAGTGACATCTTTTGGCCTCACACAAACAACTAAATTGTTTAAACCTAAAAATGGAACAGCCAGGTTTGTTTTTGTTTAGACCTAGAGACACCGTGAAAAAATCTACTGAGACACTATGGGTACTGTAAACTGAGATTGGGGGTATCTACTGAAGATTATTTATTGATGTAGATCATTCATTGAAAAGATAGATTTTTCAAAATGAGGGACTCTTTGAATAGACGAATAATTATAACTTTTTGAAAAAGAAACTTAGAGTAATTGGTTAAAAAATAGGAAAACTTCATTTTTATGTTATGATTTCAAATTAAGTATATTTCATTTAAAATTGTTTTATAGTTCTGGGCATCCCACCTTTAAGTGTCCCTTGTGTCAAGAATCAAATTTTACCAGACAACGTTTACTGGATCACTGTAACAGTAATCACTTATTTCAGATAGTTCCTGTGGTAAGTACTTATGTTTAATACAGTCTTCTGATTAAAGAATGCTATTTCATTTATTTCTCTCGATGTGTACAACAAGGGAAGGTAGTTGATTTAAATTTGGAATGGGGATTATCAATAAGGTAGGTTTTTGTCAACAAAAGACTGGTAACTGAAGCAAAATGAGCTATTTAAAATTCCAGTAACTCACGTATAAAAAGGGAGATGCTCATTGTGAAGGTGGTGTAGGAGAATAGCCTGGAGAAGAGTGAAGTAATGAAATGTGAACTGGGGACTCATCACCAGGGAGTGCAGAACCTAACTCTGTCGGGGTCTCTCAGTTTCCTGATCTAGAGGATGCAGACAACTGGATCAGGTCCGGTGGATCTGCTGCAGGTGAAAACACCTATAAGAAAGAATAAAGATAGTAGGTATTTTTTTTTTAATTGTATCTTTGAGAATCTAGTATATGAATGCATAAAATAAGGAAAGAAAAGAGTCATACTTTCTTTTTGATGCATACATGTCTTTTTGATGCCATTTTGAGGGTGTGTAAGAAAAGGGGGAGATCTTTTTTGATGAAGGAGAGAGTGCGGAGTGCAGGATTCCAACATTGTGTTAATTAATGGTCCTACAACTCCTCATTTGGAGCATGAGTTTCATAGGTAAGTGATTTTAGCTGTGATAGAACAAAAGAAACTGGCTGAAAGAGATACTTCCCCTTCAGCTGTACATTTTGATATATAAATATTTTCTTTAGAAATAAGAATAGAAGAAAAGGGCCAGCCCCGTGGCCAAGTAGGTTAAGTTCCCGCACTCCGCTTCAGCGGCCCAGGGTTTCACCACTTTGGATCCTAGGTGTAGACGTGGCACCGCTCATTAGCCCATGCTCAGGCGGCGTCCTAGATGCCACAACTAGAAGGACCCACAACTAAAATATACAACTATGTGCTGGGGGGATTTGGGGAGGAAAAAGCAGGAAAAAAAATTGTTATAAATAAAGTAAAGATTGCAGATATTTCTAAGCAGTTTTAGTGGATATGTTGGAAAAAATTGTGAAAGAATATGCCTCAGTCATTATTGAGGATGCCTTAAACTCACATAGTGCTAAGGGTGACATGCCACCTACTTTGTTCATTAGGAGAGGGTCAGTTACTAGTAAATAAACACTGCCAAAGACATCTCTAGGAAAAATCTCATATTTAAGAGATTTCATTTGTTTTATATTATGTTGGCAAGTTTTTGTTTCTGCATTATAGTCAATACAGCACAAATTTTGGCTAGAGTCCAATTACTAGAGTTCCTTATTTCAGTATGTCATCCATTCACTTTTTAAGATGTACCTCATTTAAAACCTTTAAGGATACAATTTGAAGTTTACTTTCATTTTACTTATAAATGAAATTAAGCTAATAATTATATGACAGTTATTGTGTGGCTCAAATGAGATTACATACTGATGAATGATAACTAGCATTACAATTGGTATTATTGAAGGCTGGATGTGGTGTTTCTTTTGAAACAGTTGTATAATTGGAGATTAATAGAATGTATAAGATCTCTCTTTTTATCGTGTTATGTTAGATTAGCATATTTGACCTAAGGTAATTTGGTCGGGGAATGACCTAGTCATGGAATTTGGTCCTTAGAAATGCTTTTCATGTTGATGTTTTTGGTAATGAAAGCTATGTTATTTTAATACCTTCAATAATTATAACGTTTGGTTATTTTCATTACTTTTTATTTAAAACATTCTGTTTCTTGTAGACGTGTCCTATTTGTGTGTCTCTTCCTTGGGGAGATCCTAGCCAGATTACTAGAAATTTCGTTAGTCATCTAAATCAAAGACATCAGTTTGATTATGGAGAATTTGTGGTAAGTGAATTCTTCAAGATTAAGAAAATGATACCATTTAAATATTCAAGTTAAATTAACTTTCTCAATCTAGACTTGAGTTTTGAGGCGAACTCTTATATCATATTGGGTGGTTATAGATTAGTCTATTGTTTCTATAATAATATAGGTGAACTTTGGTTTGTGGAAGTGGTAAAGGTTGAATTTACTGTTTACCTTCTGTACTCGAGAGATTACCTTCTGTACTAGAGAGATAATTAATAGAGAAAGAACAAATTCCCAGATTAACAAAATAATGATTTTGTATGAAAACTGTCTAGGTTTAAGGAAAAATTGTACCTGCTAAAGAAGTAAAATTGGTACAAACAGATGAAGGAGGATGTATTTCTCATGTACTATAAGTTGCTTGTTGTTCCGTTATAATAGATTTCTTTTAAATACATGTGAGACACATTCTTTTAAAAAATGAGGGAGCTTCATTATTAAGTAAAGCCAGGTTGAATGGTAGATTGTGGCCTTGGTTGACTGCTTTAACACAGTGCATGGAGGGAAGTTACACAATGTAAAACTGGATCTGCAAAGCAAAACACGGGTTAATTTCTACCTCCCAAATGTGTCATGATAATTTTTTTTAAAAATTAGATGACTTTTTTATTAGTTGTAAAATTGCATTTTATTCAACTTCAGTAAATTTAAACTTTTTAATTCAAGATTAATCCTGACAAATAATGTCTGATACTTGTCTTCCAGTTTAGGTAAGCACAGACTTGTGTGATTCTGACAACAGCAGAAACAGAATTTACATTTTTCTCTGCCCTTCACTGTTGAAATTATATCATTCTTGATAAATGATTTTTTATTTTGTGGAATTTGCATTTTTTTTAGTCAACCTGTTCGATTCAAGTGTATGTAAAATTCAGATATACTCATAATTTTAGCATTTTTATGAAGTAATTGTAGATTATTCTTAAAATCTCATTGTAAGAAAGGTTACTGTGTCTGGGGAACTGTGTATTTGGATAAATAAAAATATATTTTGTGGTCTACTTTTGATGTAATTGTCAGATTGTTTTGCCTTGCCACAGAAAAATGTAATTTTTAGTTTTTGAGATTATTGTGTTGAAGCCTATTTTAAAGCTAACTTATAGGACATAATTGATAGCAAATAGAATTTTTTAAGTTAAGGAATAGTAGTATAATTAAAATTGAGCTCTAGTTTTTAGCTCTGTGTTATGATCACGAAGCTGTTATTTAAATCTCTTAGTTCAATAAATGCTTATTTTTTGAAAAATGAATTTACCTTCAGACATTTGATGTTCTTTTCTAGAGATGATACAAAATTTATCACTTATGATTGCAGGTTCCCTTAACTGTACTTTTAATTAATGACTTATTGTAAGGCACTGTAACTCTTAAATTTCATTCTCTGCTGATCCTCTCTGTTGTTTATCAATTATTCCTAAATAATTACAGCTGAACTTAATTTTCTACTGAAGTTCAGGTATTTAAATCTTATATTTTAAAAGATAGTATATGTCGTAACAAACATAGACTGTTTCAAGTATGTGTATTGTGTTTCAAGATGTGTAACGTATTGGGCAAATTATTGAGTAGTGGAGTATGTTTTTCCTATTGATATGTTGATGTTATTCCTTTTAGAATCTTCAGCTAGATGAGGAAACCCAATATCAAACTGCTGTTGAAGAATCTTTTCAAGTAAACATCTGAAGGCTGTAGACGTCTCTGCATCTTTGTACCTGCAAGTGCCATCTTTAAGGGGAAAACTACATGAAGTCATCGTTTCAACAACTTGATGTGTATATTAATAAAAAGTAATTCAGTCTATTGTTTAGTTTTTTAATTGAAAAATAAAGGTGGGCCATCTAAAAATTTCATTCTCTTGATAAGTTAAAAAGTGAAAGGACATTATCTTTAAAAGCATTAAAAGAATTATATTTCATTAATGTATTGGTGAAAAGGGAATCCCTGTTGTATTTTATCTTTTTATATTACATATTGAATTTTTCCTTATTTTTTGAAATTTACTTTTGCAATTTGGTGCAGTTCCTCCCGGTGACATTATTGTACACAGATAACGCACAGCAGCAAATTCTGAACGATGTCATTGATAAAAGCCTAGCAAATCTGAGCCAGTTATCAGAACCACAGAATGGAGACTTGAAGTGCTAAATGAAACAATCCAAAGGAGACTTTTAATACAGATTCTAGCTGAAGAATTCAATTATGAGAAAATTGTATTTATATAACATTTAGTATTTTTGAAGACTAGTGAGGTTTCTTTATAATTTTAACTCTTTAAAAAAAGTGAATGCTCATTATAAAGATATTTCCTTTTTGCTATTAGAAGGAAATATCGAGAGAAAAATTTATTTCTTTGGTGGGCAGTTGGTAATTTCAAACCTTGTTTGTTTGGCTGACTGATTTATAAGCCTAAATTATACAAAGCTGAATTATAGCTGTTTGGCCCCAGAATTTTGAGTAGCCAGTATTTCTGATTAAGATGAAACTTTTCCTAGAAACTTTCAGTTGGTAATATTATATTCTACATATATATTTAAATGAGAGATTTGGCTTCATTTCAATTTAGAAATTCAAAGCTAAAGATGTATATGGATATATACATACACTTTTGTATGTGTATGTATACATGCACATATGTGTGCACACTGTCAGATTATATACAGAATTTCTGATAACTGATTAAAATTTTGTATATCACCAAATTTTTAGAAAGTAGCAGTTGAATGCTAAGTTGTCTACTTGGCTACTACACCTTAAAAATTGAGTTTACATACACTTGCAATTACCTGTTTATATGGTGCTCATGTGTTATTCTCAAAGATAATGTGTGACTATGGGGTAATGGGATGGCTTCCACCAGCCATTCTGTTTTACTACTTTTTAGTCAAAACTGGATTTGTTCTTGGTATTCATTAATGAGAATCATAACATAACTTGTACTGGAAGGCCCAAATCACAGGAAAAGATGAAGAGTGGATTAGTTGACATTCCGTACTAATGTACATTGTTTATGCTTTCTTTAAAATAACTAACTAAAAAAACATAAAAGAAAATCTCAGAAGTAGTTTGCTGCTAATATATACGTATATTGTATAAAAAGGTATATTTTGGTTTTGTTAAAACCCTTGTTGACTTTTTTACAGTGAACATTTTTTAACTTGATTTAATAAAAATGTTAATTTTGAAAGTGGAGTTTTGTAAAAACCTTTTTCAGTCAAACAGTCATGACTATTTATAGGTAGTAATAACAATCACCAAAAAAGCCATACATCTTAATGAACATATGCCTTTGTTCTGTCAACATTTTCTCTGCAGTTACATGAGTGTAATTGTAAGAATAGCTGTTAACAAACTCTTTAAAAAGAGACTTGACCATAGGTTTTTCCAGTTTAAAGCAATAACTTTAGTACTCTCTTTCAAAGTTTAATACTTCCAGTATGTCAAGTTAAACCGTTCTGAGATTTGAGAACTTCTTTAAAAGAACATTGTAGTAGAGATCATCTTGATGAAATTGTGTTTTGAAGTTTTGTGGATTAGTTAAATATCATTAATAATATTGTGTATTTCATATAAACTTTTTCATAAGGAAAATATTGACTTTGCTGTTATCTGGGAACTCCTCAGTTTGGAGTTGTTTGTTTAAAATCTCTCCTCTTGTCAGTGGATTAGGAATAGGGATAGGCTTTACAACTTAACACTTTTAAATTCATGAAAAAGTTCTTATTTTTAGTATGCTTATAACTGAGGTCAAGGGAGGGGAACTGTGTTGATACTCCAATACCTAAATTTCACAATACCACTTATAGGAAAGCTATTTCCATTAACAAATGAAAGTTATGTTGTTAAACAGAGTCTTATTTGAGATGTATTGCTTTATTTTTCAATTAAAAGTGGTTTTCTCCTACCTGTGTGTCTAATTAAAATTTTGTCTGGAGGCAAACGTGGTAACATTTAGTCTCATAACTCACCCTGGAAGACCTGTAGGAGATAACCTGTTATTTGCACTTAAAAAAGTGGATAGGAGAAAGCTACCACATGCTGATGCTGTATGTTGGATTTAACTTTATAAACTTATTTCATCTTTATTTAAAATGTTAATCAACTGGTAAAACTATTTTGTCAAGTGTTCACGCAGCAAGATTTTCAACCCGTGTTAGCAGCCAGGCGGAAACCTAGTTAACTGGTTAATAAACACTTTTATATAGAGCAGTTACCCTTAAGTAAGATCAGGGCTATAAGATCATATTGCCAAATACAATGTCATATATCTGTTGGGCTGCTTAATAAGTATTAATTATGATCATCTGTGAATCATAACTTTTATAGAAACCCCTTAGGGCTGCTACTCAAATAGTGTAAACCCTTTGTGGAGGTGGTGACATTTTAACCTTTATAGAAAAGATGTGACCCAGAAAACATGTAAATACATGTAGTATAAAACTCGTAAATATGAATAAAGTACTCCTTCCATGATATCGTTTAGTATGCAATATAATTTTCTAATTGGCAATACAGTTTTTGAAAAAATGGGGAATGGAAATGAGTTATATTAAGAGATTACAAGAGGATACAGGAACCTCAAGAAAATGGGTGTTAGAGCCACATCCTCCTCCCACTCCAACAGCAACTGTCCAGTCTTGGGGCTAAGAGAGTCAGTTGCCGTACTCTCTCCCACCCCTGAAATAGGGAAGGTAAGTGTATATTTCATTATGTACTTGGTTGACAAACTTGCATTGAATTATACCATCCAATTTCCTATGTAGTGTGAATTCTTAAGAGAGTGTAATTGATGAAGGATATATACTGTTGCAGAATTTAAGATGAGCAGGGCCAGGGGAGTGAATATGGAGGAGGCTGATGGATGAATTACAGCCAATTCTGTGGAGGTTATGGAGAGGAAGAAATAATGCAGGAGATATGAAGGAAGAAATTTCATATCTGTAAATGGGCAAAATAATGGTATATGATACTGAACATGCACAAAGTGAACAATAGCCTGAGTAATCAGAGCTCAGATCAAGAAAAAAAAATTACTAGAATCCCGTAAAGTCCTCTTCTTCCAGTCACAACTTACCACCACCGCTAACTTCTAATACCACAGATTTTTTGGTCTGCTTTTATATTTTATACAAATCGAAGCACACAGTAAAAATTACATCTGGCTACTTTTGCTTAACATTGTTTTGAGGTTTTTATGTCATTTTTTAAAATTGGAGTAAAATTGGTAAGTTTCAGGCATACAGCATCGTAATTTGGTACCTGTGTTGATTACAGTGATCACCACCAAAAATTAGTTACCATCCATCACCATACACTTGACCCCCTTCACCCTTTTTGCTCATCCCACAACCCCCTTCCCCTCTGGTAACCACCATCTGTTCTTTGTGTCTTTGAGTTTGTTTGTCTGTTAAGTTTTGTTTTTAGATTTGACATATGAGTGAAGTACAGTTTTTATCCTCCTCTTTCTGACTTATTGCACTTAATACCTTCAAGGTCTGTCTCTGTTGTTGCAAATGGCAAAAATCTCATTCTTTTATGGCTGAGTAGTAGTCCATTGTGTATATATACTACATCTTTATCCATTCATTTATCAATGGACAGGTTTTTTCCGTATCTTGGCTATTGTAAATAATGCTGCTCTGAACATTGGGGTGCATCTCTTCTAATTAGTGTTTTCATATTCTTTGGATAAATACTCTGAAGTGGAATAACTAGATTGTATGGTAGTTTTATTCTTAACTTTTTGAGGAATCTCCCTATCGTGTCAGTTTTTAATTTAGTCACCAGCTACCTACAGTAACTTGACTTTTGTCTAAAACAGAAAAGCCAAAAAGGAGCTTCTGAAGCTACTGTTTAATACTGGTGTGTGAAAGTTATGTTAGATGCATTGTGAGTGGTTCTTTCACGTATGCTGTCACCTGTAGGTGCCAGATCTAGGTGAAAGCTGAAAACTTTGTCTTCCCTCTTAATAACTGAAGGAAGACAAGTGAAGAGTGCAATTAAATGGCCTTCCACTGCCCTTACCTGACCTTTCTCATAAGCTATGTGTAGGATGTTCTCTTTTCAGGGCGTTTTATAGGCACAGGATTTTAATAAGTATGTAAGGACTGTGTTTTCTGGGGTAAAGTCTAATGCTACCAGCAGAAACCAAAAGGGCTACAGTAGATACAGAACAAGGGTTACTGAAAGCTTTTAAAACAGCCAAACCTTGTTTCTTGGATTAGCCTGGTTTTGTTGATTCTGCAGGTTTATACTTTTGCAGCTTTGGGCAGATTATTTAGCCATTCACAACTCTATGGATTATGAGGATTGAGTGAGTTAATACACAGTGTTTGGAACAGAGCCTTTTATCTTTACTAAGACTGTATTCAGTACAAAATCTATCAGTTATGTTTATATCTGGCAGATCTCTTCAGTCTCTATAAATCCTGCCAGGAAAGCCGGGAATCATTTTTTTATTTCCTTTTAGAATATAGACGCTGGAGGATTATTAGTCTTTGCAAGCCTCAACTTTGGTAGGAAGGTCTGAAACTTTGTCTTTGTTTCCAAGAAGTACAAATACTCCAGACAATGAGAAATTCTACAAAAATAATAACTTAGAATAATCCTTATAAAGAATAATCAGCTGATCATATTTCTTAATCAAATGTGTGACAAGGATTTATGATTTATTTAACCCACTTTCCCCCCTGATTTTATTGAGAGAGAATTGACATACAGCACTTTGTAAGTTTAAGATGTACAGCATAATGACTGAAATACATGGTGAAATAATTACCGCAATAAGTTTAGTTAACATTCATCATCTAATATAGATAGAAAAAAAATTTTTTCTTGTGGTGAGAACTCAGGATTGACTCTTACCTTTCAAATCAACCATATAGCAGTGTTAACTATAGTCATCATGTCCATTACTACCCATTTTTATTTTTAACGTTTGGTTCTTAGCCAATAATGAACATGAGGAAACCACTGCCTGGAAGAAAACTTATTTTGAAATGTTAGCAAATCACTTGAATAGCTTACATGTGGTCAACTAGATTATTCAGTAGTCTTAAAGGGTTTTAAATAGTTTTTCTTTAAAACTTTTTGAAAAGTTCTGTTTGTTGAGAATATACCAACTTTGTTTTTCTGTTTCTAGACATAATTGATACATTACACCTCAAAAGCCTTTTTTATGTTTATAAAGTAATTTTAGGTTCATTTAGACCAACGGTTCTCAAACTTCATCTGAGGACCCCGTTACTCTCAAATTATTGAGAACTCCTAAGACGTTTTGTTTCTGTGGATTTTATACTTAACCATATTTGAAACTGAGAAAATTAAAACATTTACTCATTTAAAATAAACTCATCTTAATATTTGTAATGGAAAATAACTCCAAAAATGTTTCAGTGAGATAGTGGCATCATTTGGCATTTTTACAAATCTCTTTAATATCTCTCACTTAATGGAAAACAGCTAGGTTCTTATATCTGCATCTGCACTCAATCTGTTGTGACATTATTTCGGTTGAAGGATGTGATGGCAGTCTAGTCTCACAGATAATGTACAGTCATGCGTCACTTAACTATGGAGATGTATTCTAAGAAATGCATTGTTAGGAAGTTTCATTGTGTGAACATCATAGAGTGTACTTACACAAACCTAGAAGGTATATAACTTACTACACACAGCTAGGCTATATATGGTACTAATTTTATGGGATCACTGTTATATATGCGGTCCCTTGTTATGTGGCACATTAGTTGGAAAAGGAAGTATTTTAATAACCTTTTTTTTTTCTGCTTTATCTCCCCAAACCCCCCCGTACACAGTTGTATATCTTTGTTGCACATCCCTCTAGTTGTGGAATAACCTTTGTTTTGATAACTGGATATTCTTTGGTACTACACCAAAACTCAACAAATGGTAACTTTTTAAAAGTTGCAATCCTAAACCGTATCAAACTTTTTGTACACTGGTAACAGTAAAATCCATTTGTCTATCTTCCACTTTGAATGGCTCTTTTACCCATGCATGATTTTGTAACCTTGTGTAAGGGTCAGTTGGAAGATGGTGGTATGAGTTATGTGGATATATCACATGTTTACACCTTTTTTATGTCCTATCAAATAATCGTGTTTGTTAATATCACCATTGATCTCATTAGTCTAAAAGTTGGGAAGCTGAGAAGATCACAGCTTTTCCAAAATTCTAAGTTTTGGTTTAAAACCTCAAATTTTATCATTGGCAACAAATAGTTACTTGTTTCCTTGAAGTGACAGGCTCATTTTCTCCAAATACCCAAGTCTGAAAACACACGGTTTGTTCGTCAGTTGCTCTTTCAGGCAAAAATGGCAGTGCCAGCAGTGCCAGCTGGTTGAGCTCAAAACAAAACAGAGAACCCCTAATGCATTTCCTTGAGACAATCATTGCACATTGTTATGCAGGAAAGTGTGCATATTTCCTATTTCATTTTATGGAATATTAAAAAGACTTGTACTTAAGGGTTAAAGTATAATACAATTAAAGATTTCAGTGTTTGATCAAAGATATTCTTAAGTAAAGCTGTTTCCCCCGCCTGCCCTGAGTGCATGGTGGTCAAGAATGTAAATGCTACTATGTTTGGTGCCATTGCCTTGGTTTATGCTGAATGGGCCAGCAGTGCAAATGACAACACAGTAAGGCAAGTAAATGTCTTAGCATTTTTATGAAAATATTTTTGATCTCAGATCCTTGGAGAAGGTGTTCAGAGACCATCTCCCCTTCTGAGTTCGTGGACCACACTTTTGATATAGAGCATATTTTGTAAGTTAAAATTGTTTTAACACATGTCTTTCATTTTCTTAATGGTGTCTTTTGAAATACAAAAGTTCTGAATTTTGGTAAGGTTCCTTTGATAATTTTTCTTCTTTCATGGAC